GAAGGTCTCTTGTGGAACTAGAAGTTTAAGCTTTTCCCAAAATCATCAAAAAGATCATCCTCACAAGAAATTTCAAAAGGTTGAATTTCTTCTTTCTTTGGAGGATTTGGATTTTCGGGTATAGATGGTTCGGGATTGATAGCTAAACCTTGGGATTGAAGTGGTTGTGATTTGGCTATCAAAACTTCCTCTTGTTGTTCAAGAGATGATTCCTTCTCTTCCCTGGGGAGTTCATTATGAATGCTAGTGCAGGGAGTCTTTGCACTAATTCTATCAAGCATAGCTCTTGCTTCACTAGTAGACAAATGAAGGAAAGCTCCTCTAGAGGCTGCATTAAGGGATTCCATGGAATCCTTGCTAAGACCCATGTAAAAATGTTGAAGGAGCATTGGGTCTGAAATAGCAAGGTTTGGGCTAGTGATGATGAGTTCATTAAAATGATCCCACGATGTACCAAGAGATTCTTCTTCTAGTTGTCTAAAATTTAGAACCTCTTTCCGAAGGCTAACCACTTTAGAGATGGGAAAGAAACATAAACAAAATTTTGATCATAGCATTTCCCAATCTCCTTGCATACTTCCTATGGTATGGCTGTACCAATGTTTAGCTCTTCTCGTCAAAGAGAACGGAAACAACTTTCATCTTAAGGTCTTGTCAGACATGCTAGCGATACGCAAGCATGCACAGGTCTATTCAAACTCTTGTAGGTGTGAGTATGGATTTTTGTTGCCTTCTCCCGAGAAGGATTTATCCTGAATTAGTTTTATAAAACAAGGGCGCAACTCATAGCCAGGAATTAGGATGGGCTCTGAAGATTTTGGTGGCTTTAGGCTTGCGCTCGTGGGTTTAGCGTATTGATAGATAGGAGTGGAATCCAAGCTAAACAAAAAAGTAAAAGAAAGAATAAAAGATAAAAGGTTAAGCTAGGCTTGTAGTTAATTCAGCAACCGTTTCCCCGGCAACGATGTTAGAAAGCTTGTTGGTATATTTTAATGCACATAGATAAATCCACAAGCGCACGGATACCGCTGTAGCTTTCACCTAGAATTATTCCAAGTATCATATCCATGGGGAAATGTGTGAGACTAACTACGGTCTAACTTAACAAGAGGTAGCGACTAGGTTAAGGTTTAACTTAACTAGGAGTAGCAACAAGGCTAAGGACAAATAGGAGCATAGAGAGGATAACTAAAGTTCTCTAGTTCTGACTTGGATAAGCTTATGTCTTCTACTATTCAAGTGGGGACACTACTAGGGAAAGACACCAGCAAAGGATGCTTTCCTTCGCAACCGCGTCCTATGTGCGCCTATAGACAGGAGGTGGACTACAAAGGATTCAACGAGGCTATAAGAGTCACCCTCGTGAGCTACCACCGATCTAGAATATAGGGTGCATCCACAATTAACCTAAGTCTAAGCACCACGCGTACACTTACAATTAATACTCTACTCCCGCTAGAACAGGGATAAAGCACTCAAAAGAGTCGTTAACCTAAAGAACAATATAAACAAGATGCTTACTTGAATTAGAAGTTGATTACCTGAGATATCTCGAAGGCAAGCTCAAGTAGAACTTGGATCCATCAAGGTACAAGCCGTAGAGTGAGCACCGACAGGCCAACACCTCCTCCGAACTCTTCCCTCACTCTATCTCACTATTTCTATTCATAGAACTAGATCCTATAGAGGACTAATCTTCTCTTGATAGCTTGCTCTGATCCTGACGAGGAGAATATGAATTAGTGTTTTTAGGATGGCTCTAGAGAGGGGGATCTGGGTGTCCTTATATAGGCCCATGTCATCGATCCGCGTCAACTCTCCAACCACCGTTGGATAAACGGACCTAAAACCGCCTTAGAATGAACAATGTAGATCATAGGAAGGAGTACGAGGCGAAGGAGGGAGAGTGGGCTCTGTGGTAGGCCGAGCGGCCTTCCTAATGGGTTGGCTGGCCCACTATTGTGGCCTTTTGGCCCAAGCTTCGGTGTGGTGCCTTCTGGAACCTTCTAGAGTTGTCTTTCGCAGATTTCGCGGGTTGAATCACTTGTTGTCGTAGGTTTGCTTGTTTGTAGTGTAAGATAGTTGTCCTAGGAGTTGTTTTCTGGATAAATCCTCCTGTAGTCACAAATTCACCATAGCTCATGGAATTCATTAGTTTAAACCCCTATACCTATGTTTGGTGATGGAACTAATTATAAATACAGGTTATGTTGACGGTTTATAATTGGTGTTAGTGACCGTCAACAGCATGCAATGTGGTTCCAATCAAACCACACGAGATCAAAGCACAAACCTTTTGTCAAAAAAAATCTATTATCTTTTAGCATGATAAAGAATGAGGTGTTATAAATGAGATTATCAACTAAAAACTAGCATTTGCATTGCAACTTGTATGAATGCGCTGATATATTCATCCTCTCATTGCGATCTAGCTGTGAAAAAAATGCTCTGTTCTAACTATGATATATTCATCCACCACAAACATGCAAATAATCGACAAATTCATGCTAAGGAGCATGCTCTGTTCTTCCTCAGTGGAGCAAGAATGGTGGACCAGGGATTGGGGCATACCTGCACAAGGCGTGGGGGAGTAAGGGGTGGCGGGCACGGGGCGTGGGAGCGTGCGACTACTGGGGAGTCAAGGTCATAGACAAAGAGAGTGGACGCCGGAGTGCATGACCACCAGACGTGGGAGTGCACGGCCACCAGGGAAAGGGGCGCGCGACCGCCGGGGAGGGAGGGAGCGCATGACCACCGCGGCATCAAACCCTAGCCGACGGGGATCTAACCACTAGGGAGAGAGGAAGCGCCGCCGCCGCCTCAAACCCTAGCCAGTGGGGATTTCTACCAGGGAGGGACCACCGGGGAGGGAGGGAGGGAGCCCATGACCGTCGAAGAGGGAGGAAGGGAGCGCGCAACCGCCGTCACCTCAAACCCTAGCCAGTGGCATGGGGTCGGAGAGGAAGCACCACCGGCAGGGGATCTTAGTTCGGAGAGAGGAAATGCCATTGGCGAGGGATCTTGAGGTTAGAGAGAGGAAGCAACGGGTTATCTCGAACCCTACCGGCAGTGTTAACAGCAGCGGCAGCGCCGCCAAAAAATCCGGTAGCCTGATGGCATCCAAACAAAGAATACTGCCCAGGACTTAGCTAATTTTCTAGCTCGCGCACCCCTTTCCTTATATAAGGGGACCGATTTGTAAGGGCAGTTGAAGTTATGAGCTGGCGCTATAAATCCATTTGTAGCAGCGGTTCCTAATCGAGCAGCCCCTACAAATATTTAACAATTTTTTCAACTGTTAATTCTATATATTATATATTATAAAAATACAAAGTAAATTAATATAATATTTTTATTATTCTATATATGTATATATATATATTAACAATTTGCTGATATATATATATAATTCCTTATTTTCTTCTTTACAAAAAATAAAAAACATATTTAAAAAATTGAAAATTTAAAATTCGAAAGTTCGAATAGAATTTTAGGACACTAAACGACCTCAAATAAAAATGTTGTAAACATGAAAGTTGTATAACTCATCAAGATGTACAACTTTTATTTTGGTCATCTTTTCATGTGACAAATTTTGAACAATTCAAATTTTGAATTTGAAATAACTATAACTTCAAACCAGATTTTGAAACACTAAATGAGCTCAGCTGAAAAAGTCATGAATATAAAAGTTGCTCAACTCGTCAAGATCTATAACTTTTATTTTGGTCAGTCCTTAATTTGATAAAGTGTTAGCAAACATTGCAATAAAACCTTAATGCAACGATTGTGTTAAGTTGTTATTTTATCAAATGCCACCATAATCCATCGATGCTAAAAATGGTATTTACAGCTTAAAATATTTTGTTGTGATAACAATAGATTGCAACGGAACATATTGGTGGGGAGAAAACCTATTGCAAGCAAATATTTTGCATGGTGACACTATCTCTGGCAACGAATAAAATTGCGTGGCAACATTATCTCTGGTAACGAATAAAATTGCGTGGTAAATGGTGTAATTGCTACGACATGACGGCGTGTGGCAATAACACCTTAGGGAACAAAATTCTAGCGTGGCAATACAGACTATTGCAACGATGTTGTGTTTGTGGCAAATGTCTCTATTGCTACACTATCGATCATTGCATGTACCACCTATTACTACGAAGACGGGCGTGACAAGTGCTTATATTGCCATGACCGTGAATGTTGCGCCAACGTCATATTGCCATGCTTGGCAACGGATAACAATGGTTGCAAGAAACCCCAATAGCTGCAATGCCAAACTAACAACGGTTGCGATACCTTATTGCAACACGACTTTTTGCAACCATTGACAACGAACACGATTTAGTTGCAACATCTACCTTTTGCAACCAAATTGGGCCTATGCAACGTTTTTTCATCTTGCGCAAGGGTTAGAAGTTAGTAGTGTACGAGTGGTTCCAAATAATTCTTGGAGATGTCTAGTGTATATGCTTGACTAATGCTCCATATTAGAAGTGGAGGGCATGTATGTAGGCACCAAGCAGCGACACCCATAAATAATGGTTATAACTAGCACTTCATATATTATATGCATCACGTTCATTTTTATTAATCATGTCTTAGAATGGATGTCCAAGAATAGGAGGATTGGATCAAAAGCTGTGGTCGCATTAATCCATGACCAGGATGCTACATGCCAATACTGGGAACCATATCCACACAAGTGTGTCAAGTATTGCTCGCCGATTTCTCATGACACAATTGTGCCTAAAATGACTATATATAAATACTTCACCAGACAAACGTTACTCAACACAAGACATCTCATTGTTTATTATTAGATATATTGAGTAGGACACTACTCATCAGATTCATCACATGCACATACATATATGAAATCAACCACAAAAGGAACTTCAAATGTCACACTCGCTCACATTATTCAATTGATGCTTGCCTTTCATATATGAAGGCATAAAAAAGTAAAAAGGTAGCCTTTGCTAGGCAACCTAGCCAATAGTTAGAGCCGGAGCATTATTTCCATACATAACATATGGATCCGGCCAAACAATGGTACTTTTATGGTTTTCGTCGACCTTGTAGAAGACAACAAGACGTTTCCATCCTGATGGGATTGGAGATGGGGAGCGGTTCATTGGATATACAATTGAATCATTTATATCTGGCCTTTCATCAAGCATCATGTCAATATTATCCATAGTAATCGCCTGACCAATCATGTTTTCCCATACTTCTCTAGGGGCAGGGGCAGCCATGATCACGTACTATCCTTAGCTTTTCTCCCTTTTTGTAACTGTTATAACACCAATAAGAATCAATAATCGAGCAACATTGATATAATCAATAGAAACATAACATGTCATTTCGAACTAATGATATCATACTTTCATACTAAGCAAATGTCTTAATCGAATGCACTACAAACCAACGGAGCAGCAAACAGTCTACTGAAATGTTAAAAGGGAAATTTTTGAAAGCAATAACTAGCAAATAAATACATGACAACCTCTGGAGAAGAAGAAGAATGTCGTAGCCTATGGTGATGATACGTGCTCTAAGTATATGTTGTATATATACACACAAACATTTGTATAGTAGCTTGGCTCTTCTCGGTGAAAACAATGCAAGCGTTTTATCCACCATTAATAAGGAACACACCATTATGACGCTGTTAATGACACCAGCGAAGGTGTCGTGTATCGGCTGGCTGTTACAAGGAAGGAGAAAATGCCACACCAACCATATAGAGAGGGTATAGCCAGTTCAATTTGTGGGCATTCAGCAGGAATTGAACCCGCATATTCTCTTGTGTCTGCCTCTTCTGTGTTAGACGCCAGAACACACATCCAAACACCATAGTTGTTTGCTTCTGCTGTATCTTTGTCCTGGTTGCTAGCATATTGCACCTTAACTCGTGGAGCTTCGATGTGTGCCACAATTGCTGGTATGAGGAGCAGTCGAGGAGGTAGTTTGATGTGTGCCACAATCGGTGGTATGAGGAACAATAGAGGAGGTAATTTGATGTCTACCAATGGTGGTATGAGGAGCAGTTGAGGAGGTTTGATGTTTGCCAATGGTGCTATGAGGAGCAGTAACATTGGGAGAAAGAAAGAGGTGGTTCAGTTCTATGACTTTCGGTATTACAGCTCAAAGAAGATACGGAGCTTTAGGTTCTGCGATATTGAGTTCTAGTTTCCACTACTCAAAGAGCCTGGCACAAAATCATAGTTCTGGACTGTGACTTAGGAGAGTTTATTCAGGAGCTACCATGCTAGATGGATGGCACTAGCAGACCAAAGGATACTTGGTTGGGATGATCTTGAGAGAGCAGTTGGTATACCCATCTGGCCCCTCTTTGAGCGGTCCCCGGGCTTTGTTCACCTTTTTAGTGAGGTTGATCGAATTATGATAAGCTGGGTGCGTCAGTTCTATGCAATAGTGTGGATTCATCCAGAGCATGACTATATTGCTTTTATGCTCCATGGTCGGCCAGAGCGAATGTCCTACGACCGCCTGCAAGAACTCCTCGGGGTTGACACTTTAGACTGGAAGCTCCACGAGATAGTCTACGAAGATGCTTTGCCTCCAAGTCGTAGCAGGGCTGGATGTACTTTTCCTACAGACCAAGAGATTCGGCCGCTCTTCATGGAGCCCTTTACCAATGGCTCCTTGCGTACATCGGATAGACTGCGTCCAGAGGCTTACGTTCTACAAATGGCTCTAAGGAAGACAGTCCTTCCTCGTGGCGGTATCAGGGAGTCATTGACCAGCTTGCAGCGGTGCCTACTACTATCAATATGGAGAGGCAAACAGTTTGACTTCTTACACTTTTTCCTGTCTGAGATCGATGATGTGATAGCTGACACTATCAGTATTGGATGGCAGCACGTGTACCCTCACATCATCAGCTATCTGTTACCCATACATTATTGGACAGAAGCTTGGGCTGTTGTACAATGAGTCAACTTGCGAGGTTATGACCTACAAGCCGCAAGTCCGGATGATCGTCGTCGTGGACAGCGTGCCCTTAGGTCCGTTCAAGAGCTGTTACCCATACAGGACAGAGAAAGACATGAAATGTGGATGCAGCCCTAGAGCAGGCAGAGCACCAGTCTAGGATTGGAGGAACCATGAATGTACGAATGCAAGATTCAGACTCCAATGACAACGACTACCATGACCCTACGTTAGACGACCACGACGAGGGAGGGTCATCCTCTGGTGGTGTGGCCGACAAAGAGATGGATGATGTTCCACCTACTACAGAGATGTTAGCCAAGCAGGCACCGCCTCTAGTGTCCGTTCGGCAACTGTCGGAGCTTGGACAGATACTTGCTAGGCTAGTTGTCAGCCAGGAAGAAAACCAGAAGCATATGAAACGACAAGAGAGGTGTTTGAAAGCAAGTATTGATAAGAAAGCAAAGAGTGTGGTCCTTCTCAAAGAGTAGATGAGCCAGTAATCATTTGGTTTTTGTGAGGCCATCAACCAATAAGGCCAAAAAATTGACCTGATGTGCAATGTGTTCACCGGTTGCTTTAATCAACTGTACAGTGCCACAGGGGTTAAGGCCCCAGACTTTCAGATGCTTTAGTTGCAATGTGGTAGTCAGGTCAACCCCATTGCTGGTTATCTGACTAGTCCTGATAATACAACTGTCCACACAGAGTTACCCATTACGATGATGCTACATAAGGAGAGTTCAGCTTTAGGTCCTGATCAGGCCGGTGATCCACCTTCTTCACCCCCTCAGGTCGAGGTGCAAGTCACCACGGAGGCACATATAGAGCCTCTCAGGGCTTCTCCAATGCCCAAGATACCTGAGCCAGCTTCAAGTTCTGATGAGGTAGGTGATCTACCTTCTTCGGCCCCTTAGGTCGAGGTGCAAGCCACCACAGGGACACATACAGAGCCTCTCGGGGCTTCTCCAACGATCGAGATGCTTGAACCTACTAATGCTAGTATTACTACAGTCGAACATAAGAAGAGTTCAGCTTCAACTCATGAGGCAGCTAATCGACCTTCTCCGCCCAATCAGGTCGAGGGGCCAGATACTATGTGCGATGCCACAGGGGCACATACAGAGCCTCCCAGGGCTTCCCCAACAATTGCAGAGCCTGATGCGACCACCGAGCCTACTAATCCTACCATTAATAGAGCTGAGTCGACCCCAGGGTCTGACACTACTACTTCAATTCAGTAGACCGAAGAGTCCACCATTCGTCTAGGTAACCATGTCACTGAGCTTGATGAGACATCGGATTTGGACGATGAGATTTTAGCGTACTCACCAAGCGAGTTCGACCTCAACAGCACCGTCATGACTTCGATGCCTGCTTCATCGTCATCACCACATCCTTCAGATGCGTAGTCACCTTGATTCCCTACTGAGGAAGGGACGTACAAGAGATTGGTGATAGTTCGACAGTGGAAGGGAGGGATGCGTGAAAGGTCCTTGTTTGGTTTTGGTAATTGAGTGACAACCTAGGTAGACTAATTGTGTTTATGTGAGATACACAGGTGATTAGTCCATAGGTACATGTGTGTGAGCAACATATGCCATGAAGGTGACAATGGCTTGGAGATGTTGCAAAGCTCACACATGTGATGACGAAGGAGCTTAAATGCACATGAGACATGACATTGAGTCATGTGATCAAGGTGGAGAAGATCAAGACAAGACTTGGCTTGATGGACTGGTTGCAAGCGTGAAGGGCAAGTCGAAGGCTTTGGAGTGATGGACCGCGTGGCGGTGAAGCTTGAGCAAGACTTGGCGCCGATGAACGATGGCAACGGTGAAGAGCAAGTGAAGTCAAGATCGATGAACCAATATGATCACGTGATGATATGAAGTGGATCATATCATTGTTGATCATGTTGGTGCATGTGTTGCATCGACATTGGAGGAGATGGAATGGAATGTGCAAGGCAAAGGTATAACCTAGGGCATTTCATTTCACCGGTCATAGGTGTGTAGAGAAGTATATGACCGGGTTTAGGATAGATGGCCGTACTATCAAGAGGGGCAAACTTGTTTGCATATCGGTCATCTAGTGCCACTCGAGTGATCTAACTTTGCATCGTCGCTAGGATCGAGTGGCGTGGCAAGTTGAGTGGCTAACATCCTTTGGGAAATGATTGTGAAAAGCTAACACACATACACATGGTGGTGTACACTTGGTGGTGTTGGCACATTTACAAAGGAGGTGGTGTTTGCAGGGTTGAGATGGGTTTGGGTCCCTCTCTCCCTCCCCCCTGGCGGGATTCGGCGCATTCGGGAAAATGGAATGCCTATTTTCTATTGCGCCGGATGCAAACTCTTGGTGGTTGGCTCATTGGAGCAAGGGTGAAAAAGTTAGAAGTGAAAACGAGTTGATCGCGAAGATGCTGGCATTGGTCTACTGACCGGACGCTGAAAGGCTGCGTCCGGTCAAACTGACGGGTCTGCACTGTACCGAGGGTATTGCATTGGACGCTGGTCTGTGTCCGGTCAAGGTGGACCGGACGCGTCCGGTCGAGAAAATATGCCTCGGGGAGCTTACTGGAAACGACCCGATGCTGGGGCTTCAGCGTCTGGTCAGTTTTACCGCTGTGTCCGGTCAGGTCAAGTGACCGTTGGGATCGGGACGCGTGGCCGTCTACGGACGACCGGACGCTGAGGTCCAGCGTCCGGTCAACTCGACCGGAGCGTCCGGTCAGCCCGACTTTTGCCCAGTGAAGGGGTAACGGCTAGTTTAGCCCTTGGGGCTATAAATAGAAGTGGCCCTCGGCCATGGCCGGGTGGGAGCACCTAAGGGGACTTAGTTTCCATGCTTGTGAGTGCTTGGGAGCCCTCCATCACACATATACTTGATAGTGATCATTCGATTGTGTGAGTGAGCGATTCTAGTGCGATTGCATCGTGAGGTTGCATCGAGTGGCACTAGGTGATCGAGTTGTAAGCCGGTGGTGCTTGTTACTCTTTGAGGTTGCCACCTCCTAGATGGCTTGGTGGTGGTCTCCGTCGAAGCCCGCAAGACGATTGTGCGGCGCTCCGGAGAAGTGCTTGTGAGGGGCATTGTGCTCGCCCCGCGGGAGCCGCGAAGAGCAACTCTAGTAAAGCGTGTCATTGAGCTACCCTCACTCAAGGGGTAGGTTCTTGCGGCGCCCGACGTGCGGGCTTAGCGGGTGATGCTAATTAGCCGCCGAACCACCAAGTGAGCGGTCGACACAACGGGGACTAGCGTGTTGGCAAACACGTGAACCTCGGGAGAAAAATCATCGTGTCAACCTTGTTCTTCCCGTTGGTTTGCATCCCCATTACACAAGCTTGCAATTACTTTTATACATATTAAGCTTGTGTAGTTGCTCTTGTAATTAGATAGCTTGTGTAGCTTGCTAATTACCTTCTTGCTTGTGTAGCATAGAAGTAGCTCCCTTGCGTGGCTAATTTGGTTTTAGTAACCTTGTTAGTCACATTGCTTAGTTTGTGTAGCTAAGTACTTGCGCTCTCTAATTAGGCATTGGTTGCCTTGTTATTGAGCATTGCTAGTGAGCATAGTTAGCTTTGTGCTTTTGCTTACTAGCATGTGTAGGAGCTCTCTTTTTGCTTAAAATACTAGTGGCATAGGTTTGTGTAACCTTGCTCTTAGAATTGTTTAGGAGAGCTCTAGCTAGCCCAGCACCTTTGTTGCATAATTGGTATCTTAGCAAGGTGCTAGTGAACATATATAGAGGGGTGTAGTCTTGGCTAGACCGATAGTTTTAATTCCGCATTTATATCGGTTAGCTGACGTGATTAATTTTAGAAAAAGACTATTCACCCCCCCTCTAGTACGCCATCTCGACCCTTTCAATGCGGTAGAAGGTGAGGTTACGGAGGCATCGAAATATGGATTTAGAACGATTCTTGATGTAATAATTGAAGTCTTGCTTATAACACAATGTCTATTTTATGGATCTGTAATAAGTTGTACATGTTGAACCCTTTTTATCACTATGTTGCCATGTAGGCATCAAAATTTTGATTTAAAATGATTCTTGATGTAATAATTGAAGTCTTGCTTACGACACAATGTCCATTTTATGTTCTACTGTGCGGAAGATAAATATACAACACTTTGCTTTCCTGGAGTATCCTCCAACTTCCCTGCCAGCCAAACACAGCTAGCCAGAACTCTCTACAATCATAAATAAACAGGCCTGTGAGCTAGTTTAGAATCAGAAAAGACTATGAATGGTTCAATTTGACTAATTGCAGATAAAGATATTTACCTTAGGCCTTTATGGATGAGTTGCATCTCTCTGGATATGGTCACTGATGGGTGAGGATCGGATTGACCACGGGAACACCAAAGCCAACACCATCTGCCTTTGGGGAGACCTCCCAGGCATCATCAGTTGACCCTCTCTGCTGGAAGCTGCCCCACTTTGCATCGCCGAGAGGAATGATGTGCACCCGACCACCCCATCCAGGCTAGTTGGACCTCAATGTTATCGCTCGAAACCAGGATACGCAGGCTTGATATGCTTTGATAAGAAATTAAGGGGAATTGTCAGCACCTGAGCATGATTCAGACTACATCAGTGAATTTGTGTTTTGGTCATTAGCCATCACATAGTGCAACAAATGCATTTATTATCAAATATTTGAGCAATTATAATGTTTAAACAGTAAAAAATGCATACAGTTACAGGCTACAGCATTACCTGCTAGGTTGCAGGCCTGCTGCGTTACTGCCTTTTGCCTGTCTCTGCCTGGCTCTTGCTGCGGGCTGCAGGCGGCTGGTGGTTGGCCGGCTGGGGCTTGGGGCTGTCAGGTTGGCTGGCGGTGCTGCCGCCTGCCCGTGGCCTGTCGGAGCCGACCTGCTGCCTGCGTGCAGTGACTCTGCCCTGCCGTTGCCGGAGACCGGAGTGCCGGCTGCCTGTGCCGCTCCCCTGCTAGTCGCCTCGGCTGCTCGCCGCCGGCTGCGCCGCCCCAACCTTAGGTGCGAGGTTAGCTGCCGCCGCTCGCTTCTCCGTGGTCCTGTTCGCGGAGTCGTGTCGCGGTCGTAGTGTTGATTCAGGAAAACAGAAAGGACGAGGAGAAAGCAAACAACAAAATAAAAGGCCACTCGCTCCTCAGTTACTGCAATCGTGAACCTTGAAGGAGGGGAGAGATCGGTTCTCTAGTGTCCAGTGGTGGCGGCTTACCGTCGACGCGGGGGCCGCGCTGGTCGTCCACCGCGTGCCCTGCGCGGCAGCGGTTCGAGCTGCCCAAGAACTTGGACCGGGAGATGGCCTACTTGGACCTGGAAGCGGGGTAGCGGCGCTGTCGGCGGCGGGATGCAGGCAGCTGCGAGGCGGCGGTGTTGGCGGGCAAGGGCGAGGTGGCTTACGTGCAGCGCCCATGGATCGGGCGAAGCGCATCACGCCGATCTGAGCAGCAGTTGTCCAGGTGGGAGGGAAGGAGGGGCAGGGGAGAGGTCGACGGCCACAGCGACGAAGCAGTGACGCCGATCCGCCTCCGTTGCGGAGATGCCGCGCGCCGAGGCGGGGTGAGCAGCAGCCGGCAATTGCAGGGGCGAGGGAGCAGGGGCGGCGGTTCGTCGTCGTGCGCGGGTGGCGGTTCTCTCAAGCGAGGTGCTCGACGAGTGGGGTGGGGTAATTACGAGGGGGGCCGATTAGGAGCGTGGTTAATTACGGAGAGGGGGCGATTAGGAGTGCGAAGACGATAACACACGGGTCTTTTTAGTTGTAGAGATTAGTCATTACTAATCTACTCTACGGCACTAGTAATGTACCATCTCATTATTATTACCTTGACGACTTGTACATGAGTGACGACTCACGCGGCGGCTAGACGAGATGAGCTTTTTTTTTTTCGCGATGTGCTTTTTCTTGAGTTGTTCAAGTTTTTCTTTTTTCATAACTTGAGTTGTTCAAGTTGAACATGCGAGTCTAGTTCCCACTTGCCACCAAGAGGTTAGATAGGTCATAGGATGGTTACACATGCCACATGTCACCAGACAGGGAAGATCGGGATGCTGATGCAGGCATGTAGCATAGCAGAGCGAAGGAACAGCAGTGTGCTCATTTGCCCCTGTTGGAGGACCTATACTCCAAAACAAAGAACCAGCTCCTATAGATGGAACCGGCTCCCATCAAATTAAATAGAAAATAAAATTCTCTCTACCAATCTTGTCTACTCCCCTCAGACTTTGCAACTGTAATTGGAAATGTGGTATTCTTTTTTCTTCCTGTGGGCCCACACCTCAATAGCGTTCTTATACAAAGTAAGCATGTTTCTATATAGGATCAAGGGTGCTCCTGTACAATTTTGGCCAAGGTGCAATCCTCTGACACGTCAAAGGACGCTTTACTAGCAAAATTGCAAAAATGTCTCCAACGTGTGAAACGTCTAGCATTTGCTCCTAGGATAAATAAAAAAAGGTGTCACCAGAACTTTCCCCACCTCGCTTCTCCTTCGCATTGGGCAAGGTGCTGACACACTGCAGCTTTTTATGTTTGCACCTGGTGCTCAGGGCAACAGGTGCTTGCTTGGCACCGGGTCTACGACATATTGCACCTGTGTTTCTTGTTCCTCCTCCCGCTAACACCCATAAGTAATGGTTGTAACTAGTGCTTCATATATATTATATGAATTTCGTTCATTTTTATGACTCATGTCTTAGAAATGATGTCCATCACTAGGAGAATTGAATCAAAAGTTGCGGCAGCATTAGTCCGTGATGGGAATGCTTGATGCCAATATTGGGAACCATCCACAAGTGTGTCAAGTATCGCCGCCAATTTCTCATGACATAATTGCGCCTAAAAGGACTACTCAGTAGATTAACCGGACATACATTATTCATCAACACAAGACATCTCATTGTTTATTATTACATATATTGAGTAGGACACTACTCAATAGATTCATCACAAACACGTACATATATGAAATCAACCATGAAAGCAAGTTCAGATGTGACACTCGCTCTCATTATTCAATTGATGCTTGCCTTTCATATATGAAGGCATAAAAAAGTATAAAGGTAGACTTTATACGGCAACCTAGCCAATAGTCGGAGCCGGAGCCGGAGCCAGGGCATTATTGCCATACATAATTTGCGGAGCCGGCCAACAAATGGTATCTTGATTGTTTTCGTCGTGCTTGTAGTAGACAACAAGTTTTGCCCCTCCTGGTGGGATTGGTGATGAGGGGTAGTCCCATGGATATACTCTTACATTTGGAATATCTGGCCTTTGATTATGCATCTGGAGAACATTTGCCATAGTACACGGCTGGCCAATCATTTCTTCCCATACTTCTATAGGGGCAGCCATGATCACGTACTATCCTTAGCTTTTCTCCCTTTTGTAACTGTTATAACACCAATAAGAATCAATAATCGAGCAACATTGATATAATCAATAGAAACATAACATGTCGTTTTGAACTAATGATATCATACTTTCATACTAAGCAGATGTCTTAATCTAATGCACTACAAACCAACCGAGCAGCAAACAGTCTACTGAAATGTTAAAAGGAAAATTTTTGAAAGCAATAACTAGCAAATAAATACATGACAACCTCCGGAGAAGAAGAAGAACGTCGTAGCCTATGGTGATGATACGTGCTCTAAGTATATGTTGTATATATACACACAAACATTTGTATAGTAGCTTGGCTCTTCTCGGTGAAAACAATGTAAGCGTCTTATCCACCATTAATAAGGAAACACCATTAACTTGTCGTTAATGACACCAGCGAAGGTGTCGTGTATCGGCTGGCTGTTACAAGCAAGGAGAAAATGCCACACCATCCATATAGAGAGGGTATAGCCAGTTCAATATGCGGGCATCAAGCAGGAATTGAACCCGCATATTCTCTTGTGTCTGCCCCTTCTGTGTTAGACGCCAGAACACACATCCAAACACCACAGCTGTTTGCTTCCGCTGTATCTTTGTCCTGGTTGCTAGCATTGCACCTTAACTTGGCTAGGAGTGCTTGAATCCGGAAGCGACAATGACCATTTGTGTCCCTACATGTACCAGCAATATGCCTAAGGAGTACCGGAGTTATGTACTTTACGAGGTAGTATATATTGTATCTCTTATAAATATCAAACTAGGGAGTTTACATAAGAGATGCTCTTATCAGGTAACGTTTCGTATCTCTTATAAATATCAAAATAGGGAGTTTATAAATATCAAAATAGGTGATAAAGAAAATTGTAGTCAAAATTAAAAGCTATAGTATTTACATAACATGTGTTATATTAGATTATTTCTCTGTTAGAACTATATAGTAAATACTGAAACATTTTCTTTCAAGTCCAGATGTGGAAATTAAGGGGGTGTCTGGTTGCTAGCCATAACCTGCCATGCCTAACATTAGGTTTGCCACAGCAATGTTGGTAGGTGTTTTGTTGATTACTAATGCTAGGTTCTCCACAGCAATGGCGGCCTCCCACCACAGATTTCCCCATCAAAAGCGTGACGCGCTATTTCTGCGCCACACCGGCCAAAATGATAATAAATAAAATATATCTGAGCAAGATAGATCTTTTATCTAACAAGTTCCACTAGTTTTGGTGCTCAAATTTGTTTTGCAGGATATACTTAGAATGCGCGTTAAAAGGACATTAAACAGTACACATACATCTCGGCAGAAATTAGACAAAAAAATATATTAAAATATTGGATGCTGCAAAATAGTCTCAAATAAATATTTGGACTGCACCAATACGAAGAACTCGCTGAGACGATCCAAATGGATAAAACTTTTGTCCTATTCAGAGCACGAAATATAGAGATATTAATTTCACATATTATATGTAAAAGAAAATCGGAAAAGTCACCAGAGCAAGTACTTCGTACATACTACTCCTATGGTCGTGTCCGTCCAATGCTGCAGGGCCCCACCGGCTAGCCCAACACTCGGCCAGGCCAGCCCATCAGCAGGTGGCGCGTGGCACCCAGGAGGCAGCACTCCAGCGCTGGCTCACGCACGGAGATGGGAAAAAACATTCTATGTAAACTGTATCCACATTTGCACCTTGTATATATGTATGGATAGTTGACACCTGTTGGCCTTTATGGTGCATGTGAGCATATGGCGGATGGGCGTGGCCTCGTGAATGAGCTTGGCTAGGCCAAGCCCATTTTTTTGCAAAGGACCACTCCTTGGCTAGTGTTGGATAATTGAAGTCCGACACGTGTCAAGCATCCACACCATATATGCATCGCGCAGCGGTGGATACAGCATGCAAAGAATTTTGAGACTTGTACCTGTGTGCCATTAAAAAAATTTGTAATTACGCATAAGTCATTAAAAAAGTTGAGCTCCCACGAGTGCCATCGTTCTGAACTTCTTCGCTCTCCAAGTCATTCCGTCTGTGTTCTGTTTATTTTTTACCATTTGACAACCCTTACATAAGGGCTTAGTCATTGTAAACGTCTAAAATACCATTCTCTTGTCCTATCCTCTTGCTTCTTTCTCTCTCTGTCTAGTGGGGCCAAACTGTCAGCGACCCGGCTCCACCTTCCTCCTCGCCACGCGCCAGCCTCGCACCGCGCCGATGCCGGGGTGGAGCTCGCTCGCCCACGCCCACACCGAGGCGGAGCTCGCTCGCCTGCGCTCGCGCTCGCAGGGGCCGGGCGGAGCTCCTCCGCACGCGCGCCCGTGGCGGTCGGACCGAGCTCGCCTACGCCCGTGCCCACGGGCGGCCAGGGTGGAGCTGCCCTCCACGTGCACCCGTGGCGGCTAGGGCGGAGCTCCCCCATGAGTGCGCTCGCGGCGGCTGATCTTGGCAAGCAGGTCATCGATGGCGGAGAAGATGACGAGCTCGGCCTCGGTGCGGGAGGACTCGAGGTCACGCTACGACGGGATGTAGTGCTGCACGTACGGCAGGCACATCTCCTCCCCGAGCCCGGACCGCTCCAGCAGCCACGTCATGAACCGAACACTATGCTCGTCGAAGCCCGGGCACATGCGGGAGTGCTCCAAGAACGTCGCGAACGGGACACGACAATTGGGTTTGGTGCGGAAGCACGCGAAGTCCACCAGGTACACCGCGCGCGACCGGAGCATTAGGTACAAGGGCTTTAGCCGCTTGAGCTACGCCGAGGAGCCATAGTGGAGGAGGGCGCGGGGAGGTGGCATCCGCGACGTGTGGGTGATCTCCACCGGGCGCGTGAGACGGTGGCTACGGTGAGCTCTATCGGGACACGTGCAAGACGATGGCGGCCTCAAGCACAGCTGGCAGCAGCACCTGTGGAGGGCCATCCAGGCTGGTAGCGGCAGCATAGCTGGGCACAAATGCGATGCTCGGCAGTGGCCGCGTCGATGCAAGGCAGCGTGAAGTAGTTAACATGCGCTTCGGCAATGGCGTTGGCAGCGGTGCGATGTCGCCGGGGTCAGCAGCGTGGGTAACAACGCGATGCCTTCTCATGTTCGTGATCATCGCTCTGGGATCGCCAGTTGAGGGGACACGAGTCGGGGCTCATCGCTCTAGGCGTTGGCGTCTCCGTCGACCTTGGGCTTGGCCTCCTGCACCGCTGAGGCTCACCGCCACGCCAAGCCGGGAGCCAACCCCACCGTCTAAGATCTTGTCAAGCCGACATTTGAGCTTACGGCCGCACCACCTCAAGCACTCGGGACGGCAATGAGGGCGGAGAACTAGGCCGCTGCGCAGAGCTCCCTCAACCCTTCGTGTACATAGGAAAGAGAAGAGAGAGAGAGAAAGAAAGAGAAAGTTTGGGTGGCTGACAAACGGACCCCACTGTAGGGTAAAATGGTCATTTCACCTGTCTGTTTGACATCATTAGATAGAAAAAGTGGACGGAATGGCTTGGACAACAAAGAAGTTTAGAACGATGGCATTCATGGGAGGTCAACTTTTTAATGACTTGTACGTAATTGCAAACTTTTTTAATGGCACACAGGTAAAAGCCTCTAGAATTTTTTTCCTGGAGATGACCCTGGCTAGAAAAGCACAACATCGACTTTGGGACTCCGGGAGACCGAGACGGTCGACGACTCCAAGCGCTCCTGCGCGTACATCCAAGTGCAGAGAAGGGAGGCCCATGGCAGCCCACGGCAGTCTACGCAAGGTGTACAAAGCGGCATCAAACCGACGTGAGCAGGTTCTGACTTGCCAAATGAAGGAGGGATCCAGGAATATTCCTTGGAATATCTCCATTCTTCCAAGAAATAGAGGACCTCTCTACTCTTGGAACACATCACAAGGGCTCTCCTCCATTTCCAAGATGTAAAAGTAGTATAGGCTAGTTGGGAGTTACGAGAGTTGCTTAAGTTCTAGAGTAGTCCTCAGAGGTCTGGTATATTTTTTATCATACCTTTGTAAGACTCAAGATTCAGTATATTTATCTTCTCTAATTACTTGAATGTCTATCTTGGTTATCTAATCATGCCTTAGTGTTTAGCTAAGTGTGGAAAAAATAGTTGTTCCACACCTTAACATGGGATCTCCACTCGCATCGAGTGCTCTAGTTATAGATCATGACTAGAGTAGTAATCGATAGGCTAGGCATGGTGTCTACTCTATAGGTTACCTGAGATGGCACCCAACCCTAGGATAGCTGTGGTAGCCCCAGGTGGTGACAGCCCTAACGGCCGACGTATTCCACCACGTTTGGCTTGGTGTTTACAGGACCGTAGTTGGAGCAACCTAGCCCCCTTCTCGTCCTTGTCCGTGGCTAGTGTTCTGATGTCCTAAAGTATTATGGTGTGATCGCTATGTCAGACCTTTGCTTAGTTATCCCTCTGCTCTGCTCTAGAATGGAACTGTAAGTAATAGAGAAGTATATAGGAGCTTGAACTCACCCGTTGTCCTCCCAACATAACATGACTACTTTATATCTTATCATGGAGTGCTTCTGTGTATCATTTATCCATCAATCATATTTGCACTTACCCCCATGTTAGTCGGTATACTAGTTACTAGATATGTGATGGTTAACTATCAACTTCTTTAACCATTGCTTCCGTAATGATAAATACGATACCGTGGAATACTCCTGGGTGAAAGCTACAACAGTATTCGTGCGCTTGCGGATTTCTCTATTTGCCTTAACAAATACCAACAAGCTTTCTGGCGCCGTTGCCAGGGAAGCAATTGGCGTAAAGATTTTGATATTGACCATGATGTCTACTAACCTAGTTTACCACTAGCTTTTGTAGGATTACCCTTGTCCTATTGAGTGTGGAATAAACAGGACAACACTGGCCGTTCGACCTTCCGGCACAATTCCACAAGAACAAAAAGAAAGAATCATCACGAGCCTAGGGTGCCCAATCATTTATGAACATTCAACAC